ATCATAAACTCGCTTGTTGATAACATTCGAAAAATTCATATTATTGGCATTAGTGCCAATAAAGGAATTTTGATGAAATTATTGTTCCATATGTTGGCACAGGTAATAAATAAAATGTGATAAAAATATTCAAGAAATAATCTTTAAATCTAATGCCTAAAGGTGTAATTAAGTATATCAAATTATTTCGAAAGCAACAATTAGCCGAGTAGCTGCGATATACTATGATTAATAAAGCTCTCACCTTAAGAAAAAATCAAAATAACTACACCAAGTCACTAGCACAAAATGTCAGCTGTTGTTTCTGAATTGCCATAATGGTTATTGCAACAGTGTGGCCAATTTTTAATAGAAAAATAATACTATTTTACTTTTTAATTCATACCGAACTTGAATCATGTATGGTTTCCTTGTTTTTTCGAACTAAACACTAAAGTGTCAATAATTGGAGGAGTGCCAACGATTGGGTAGTTTACCCTATTTTTAATTGATTTTAAATTCATGGGTAGTAATTTTATATTTGGCTTTGATAGAAGATTCAAACCCAATTACTAATCCATTTTACTATGGTCAAGATAGGCAAGGCTGGTACAATAAAGTGGCGACAAAGACGTGCGAGCTGAGCCGTCGCCAAAAATCGGAGAAAATAATAAAAAAGAAAAAAATCAAATCAAATTCTTTGAAAAATACATCATTTATCATGCGAAAGGAAACGGGCGATGTACGTCATTTTATAAAAATTATAATACATGATTTAGATGGTCGTAATATCAATGAAATAAATACTGAATCTGGAAATGCAGCTGTGAACGTTCAATATCTAGTGACAAGTTCATATGATGACATCATGAATGAGACAGAAAATTTAGTTTGTACAGTGGTAAAAAAACTAAGAAAACCTAGTATTTAAGTTTGAAATCAATTAATAAAATTTATTTTAATATAATTTCTATAAATAAATGATTAATTTTTTCGACATGTATAACTCTGTTGTAAAAGTTAAGTGTATTTAAATCTATTGTTTTTATGTAATATATAGTATTTAAGGATCTAATGGGATGATAAATAAAACAAAATATGATAATGATAATACAGTATTTTATTTCAACTTACATATAAAGGTTGTTATATTTTAGCTAGAGTTATAATAACGATATACTAGTTACAATATAGATTATATTTGCAGTAAAGAATATTCAAAATAAAGTAATTTTTTTTCATTTGCATATTATGTTTATATTTATAATTTTTTTTATAAATTACTATTACTTTATTTCATCATTTAATTCTTCATTACGAGTATTTCATATTTCATCATTAGTTAAAATATAATGCTATTTAAAATAAGTTGCTATCAAGTTCCCAAGGCAAAGTTTTATACATATCTTCACATATTTGTCGCTTATCATCATTGCCACTAAGAATGAGCTTATTTATTTTTTGCGTATAAAGAATATGATTCTTAGATCGTATTACGTACATAGTGTCTCTATGGGTTTTCTTAGAATTTAAAATATCTCTATACTTTTTAACAGTAATTTTTTTTTTGTATTATGCTTTTTCACACCTTTTGCTTTTTTAATTGCGGACTTTAAAGTATTGACGCAGTATAATTTTGATTTCTAGCCTATTAACCCTGTTATAATATCACCTCCTAATTCATCTATAAATACCCTGGTATTTGTTTATTTGCTTTTGGAATATGGTATATATTATTTTCAGGAAAATTACTTGTATCAAAGTACTTAATATTATCTTTCATATCTTTATAGAAGTCTTCAGTGTAAATGAAATACAAAAGACTATCTGTATCATTGTAACAAAGTTTGATATTATTATCTTTGTATATTTTCTACATAACAGAATAATTAAAATTATATAAATGACTTTTTGCAAGTTCCAAAATAGTAAAGTCCACATATATTGGGCGATCCAAGATCACCTTTGTTGGTCGGAGTTGAATGGTTACGAGGCTATCACAAATAATTGTAAAATTTTTGAAATTAGGCGCACTAACATATTTTTCGGCACCACAGACTTTATTTGTGTTGTTTAAATTATCTTTCATATTCTTATTAATTATCTTTTAAATTCTTATTAAAGCTATTTATGTTTTTATGTAGATACATTACATTTTCATAAATATATTGCGATGCCAAAGTTAATATGTTTATTTCTTTAAATTTTTCTCTGAGGGACTTTTTACAATTTTTTTTTTTTTTTTTTTTTGTGATTTATCATGCAATCAGTCGATGGACTATGAGCAGATTGGTTGTAGAACAGATTGGCGTGCAGAGAAAACTTCCCCAGCGGGAAGCACTCCATAAGTCTCAACTATACATTGTCAAGTATATGCCTTCTCTTTAGGCGACTAATCGCTTGTGGCATTGTCAACTGCCATGCTAATTGATTTGGATGGTTGCCAAGTCTTGTTTTGTAGTTGCAGCTGTAGCGCCTAATTTCTTCCTTAACTGAGTTCATTTTAAGGTGTTCATGGATTTCAGATGTTCTTATGAACCATGGTGCGTTTGAAAGTTGTTTAAGTATGTAGTTTTGGGTTCTTTGAATGATTTCGATGTTGGAGTCACATGCTGATCCCCAAAGTTGTATGCCGTATGTCCATATCGGTTTTATAATGATGTTATATAGCAGGAGCTTATTGTCTAAGGAAAGTCTGGAATTCCTTGCGAGCATCCAATACAGTCCTCTGTATCTATGGTAGATCTCATCCTTTTTGGTTTGGATGTGCTTCTTCCAAGTGAGCCTTCTATCCAAGTACATGCCCAAGTACCTAACGTTGTCACTTTGCGGGAGCGAATTGTTACGCAATGAGACAGGCGGACAGTTTCCTCGACGCAAGGTAAACGTAACATGGACTGATTTTGTGGCACTAGCCTTTATTTTCCACTTTGATAGCCATTTGTCAATCTCATCTAGACTATGTTGTAGGATTGCTGAAGCATCGTCAGGACTTCTACTGCAAGCAAGAACAGCAGTATCATCCGCAAAGGTAGCCACAGTGACGTTGTCAATTTGTGGTAGGTCATTTGTGTAAATTGTGTAGAGCACAGGACCAAGCACTGAGCCTTGTGGCACACCAGCCTTAATTGGATGGAACGTGGAAGTATGTTCACCTTCTTTGACTTGAAAGATTCTATCGGTCAGGTAAGACTTCAGTAATCCGAAGAATGTATGAGGTAAAAGAGATTTAATTTTAAATAGTAGCCCTGTATGCCAAACCTTATCAAAAGCCTGCTGCACATCCAGGAATGCAGAGGAGCAGTATTCTTTATGTTCTAGTGCATTTCTGATTGTTCTGCAAACCCTATGTACCTGTTCAACCGTACCATGATCCTGTCGGAATCCAAATTGGTGGTCTGGAATGATACTTCTTTTACGGAGTTCTTTCATAAGCCTTTGCAACAATACTTTTTCACAAACTTTTGATGTTACTGGTAACAAACTGATTGGTCGGTATGAGGTTATTTCATGAACAGGTTTACCAGGCTTCCCTATCATTATAATTTGTGAAACTTTCCACAGTGCTGGGAAGTAGCCAATGCGAATGATTCCATTAATCAAAATGGTGAGGAACATAATACCTTTTTTGGGTAATTCCGAAAGTACTTTTTTGTCAATTAGGTCAAAGCCAGGCGCCTTCTTGGCATCCATACGATTTATTATATTAATAATCTCTCTGGCGTTAGTTGCTGCAATGGGTAGATCCAATTGAAAAGTTTGGCCAAGGACATCTTCAATATCTGTTTCATCACTGTTAGGATCAGTTTCGTTTGGCGTGAATATTTGGGCCAAGTGATCTCCAAAAACATCAGCTTTTTGTTGTTGGCTTCTAGCCCATAAGTTGCCCTCCAGTCTGAGTGGGGGCTTGGGGTTAGTGGGCTGATTGAGATGTTTACAAGCGCGATAAAGGGAATAGTTAGTAGCACTTGTGGCTGTCAATGATTCCAGGAAGGATTCCGTTGAAGTATTATTTGCTTTGATCATGATGTCTTTAAGGTCTTTAATTGCCTTATTAAGCGCTGTTTTGTCTTCCGGATGTCTACTATTGTGCCATACCCTACGTAGCCTTCTTTTTTCAATAATTTGGATTTTGATATCGGATGGAACTGCATTGCGTCTCAGTGAAGAGTTGGATATTTCAGGAGTACATTTCCAACAAGCTGACTGCACTGTAGTCATAAACTTAGTAGTAACATTGTCAATGTCTTCCTCGGATTTTAGTGCCATTTGTAGTTGAAGCTCATCATTGACTATACTACGAAATGCTTCCCAGTCTGTTCTCTTATTGTAGAGTTGTAGTTGTTTCATATTAGTTATTATATTGGCGCCCATGGTAAGAAACACTGGGATATGATTAGAAGAACCATCTAATGTTGATCTGATTGTGAATAAGAGTCGCGACATGCCTTTAGAAACAAAGAAGTCCAGGACATCAGGCAGTCTATTTGGGTCTGTAGGCCAATGTGTAGGTTCTGGTGTTGCAATAGTTGTGAGATAGTTCTTATCCAAACTCTTCTTCAGCTCTCTTCCCCGAGTGGTTATCAGTCTGGAGCCCCAATGAAGATGCTTGGCATTCCAGTCACCACCAACAACAAAGCGAGAACCAAGGCTAACAAAGAACTCTGAAAATAGCTCCTCAGATATCCTGTGCTTGGGTGGACAGTAAACAGCCGAGATGGTGAAATCGCCATTTCTGTCCAAGACAGATACTGAAGTTGCTTGGATTTGTTCAGTGCTGTATTGAGGCAGTTCATGGTGCTTTATTGACGATTTTATTATGACAGCGGTTCCGCCATGTGCAGTTCCATCTGGATGATTTGTGTGGTATATATTATACCCTTTTATCTTTATCAGACTGCTGCTAACAAAGTGGGTTTCTGATATGAGAAAAATATCAATTTTATGCAACTGAAGTAGTATCTCTACTTCGTCTTTGTTGGGAGATAAGCCGTTAATGTTCCAAGTAGCTATTTTAAGAGCTATTTTGAAGGCTTGGAGATTAGCGTTGTAATTAGTTGGAGTAATGTACTCATTTGTTGAAGGAGAAAATCAATTTTTTCAGATTGTTTGATAAACATGTATTCTAATGTTTTAAATGAAGTTGACTGCATATCTGGCTCTTGTGGATTGGGCTTTGAATAGGTAGTTTCAGCATATGTTTTCTTTTCCTTTATATTTTTGTTAGATGGTGGTCTGTCCTGAACTGAATTCATGTTAATTGGATGAGTTCTTATATAGTCACTGTTTTTGTGTGCATAGTTGTCTCTCTTTTGTCTTGGATACTGGTTTTTGGTTTTCCTGGTGAGGATTTCCTTGTACACCTCACACCCTTTGTAGTTAGCTGGATGAGGACCCAGGCATAGAGCACATGTGGCTGGTGTATTGCGATCGGTCTTTGTACATGCTGAGGTTTTGTGAGCTCCTGCACATTTTACACAACGAAATGGTTTCATGCAATAGTTTTTTGTGTGTCCATATTGTTGACACCTTTGACACTGTACTACTGTTTTTCGTTTTCTTGGATCTTCTATAATGACGGTTTGGTGATATATAGCCTTAATGTTTTTCACTGCCTTATTATTCGGGCCTGGTAGAAGATTTGCGAAGAAGGTGGTTGTAGGTATCTTATCAGGACCAAACTTAGCATTTATTATTTCACCTGTCACAGTATTACCAGTTTCCTCAATGGCTGCTTTAATAGCCTGAAAAGGAGTTGTGTGGTGTAGGTTTCTAATAACTATTCGGTAATTTCTGTTATCTTTCCGATTAAAGGTGTGTCCAATCAAACCGTTTTCACGAATTACAGATATTAATATTTTGTATATATCAACATCGTAGGTCAGAATTTTCAATTGATTTCTGTTGATAATTTTGTAAGTGAAATGAGATTTCTCTGTAACTGATTCCAGCAGTTCTGTCAGTTTGTTCAGATCTTCAACACCATATAGAATAATCGGTGGAGGTTTGCTGGGCTTCTTAGTCTTTGGCTCCGTTGCTTGTTCTTCAGTTAAGTCAACTGTTAGTCCATCAAAGCTATTGCTTGTTTCAATTTTGTCTGGTGAAGGTGTGCATGCCAGTTTTTTCCTTTTGGGGTTTCTAATTGAGGGTACTCTTTGCCAGTCAGGAGGGTGCATAGTAATATCTTTTTGTGGTTCCGTATCATTAAAGTGGCTCTGTTGGATTCCTTTGTCAGACGCCTCTTCACTACTAGAGCATGGCGTGTTGCTCAGAGATTTGCTTCTTGATCTTGTCATAAATAAGCTAGGATGGAATGCTTGTTGTATTAGTCTTTTTCCAGTAACATTTACAGGCACCGGAGCCTGGTTACTCACTCCAGTGGTGTCTTCGGTAGCAGATTTCACACTCTCAGGCCCGGGTACCGGAGAGCGCCGGGGGTTAGCCGGATCACATGACAAATCGCACTCTCTATTAATTGACATTTCATAAAAGGGGGGGTCGGGAAAAATATCAGCAGAACTTTCCCAAGGTACTACTGCCACCCTTTTTGAGGATATTTAGTGCCTCAAGGCTTGTGGTAGCCTAGGACAGGTTATTTAACCGCCGCCTGTTGCTCGGCGTTGTCAACTCTTTTGGCACCACCCAGGGGACACGTGTAGGGTGGGTCTTGTAGGAACAAGATGGTAAAAATCCTACGGACGCGAGCGACTTCGTCCCCCTTTTTTTTTTACAATTTAGATTATAAATCGCCCGTACGGCTTTCTTTTGCAAAACAAATATAGCTAGAAATATAGCAATAAACACGTGCGTGGCCATGTGGTTTTTGTTAATATTTTATACAATTTGTTTGGGAAAAATAAACCAAATTTAGTGTTCTAAAATAACTTCATGCAGAGCTATAAAATATTTTAATGACAACGCCATTTTAATTCGTTGGTTGCGCTCAGCGACGATCCTTTCAATGCACTACTGAATGATTTGCAGTGCGTTAATGTTTGAACTGGTTCAGACCAAATTTGTGTTTTTAATGCCATTTTTGCGCATTCCGTTTAATCCAAATCTAAATAAATATAAATCCAATTAATATAACAACTTGATTTGAATGTAATGTCTAAAATAAATATATGTCAATTTTTTTTTCTGACATGCAGATTTCCTATTTCATTACTGAAGTGACAAACGAACTAACAGTTTACCTGATGGTAGGTGATTACTACAGTCCACGGTCACTGCAGCCAACTTTAAACAAAGAAGGCTGCAGATTGCTATATCACCTCTAAAGACTAAGATGGAATGTTTCACAGCCTCTTCCTAAACTGGCTCTTTTTTTCCGAAAGTATTAAAAAGTTTACTGAAAAACTTCCCCCCCCCCCCTTTTTTTGTATTTTCAGAAGCAATATACATATAATATAGCCTATGTCACTCCCACAATTAAGACAAATCTAATAACACCTCATAATCCATGAAGCCGTTGAAGCTACAGAGCGTGACGAAGGAATATATATGCTCACATATATACAGACGTCCATCCATATATATATATATATATATATATATATATATATATATATATATATATATATATATGTATCCTTGAAATACATAACCCATCTTCTGAGGTAGTCTGCTAAAAAACCAGCATTGGATTGCCATTACTATTTGTAAGCAAATTACGTTGTTTGTTGAACAAGTTATTTCTTTCAGCTCAAAAAGTTTTTCTACACATTTATCAAGAGGCAGTTATCTATATCGTTATGAATGTAACCAGATAATCTGCGAAGCTATTAACCACGAAGAGGCAATTACTTTAATCGTTGGAAGACAATAGCACGAATGTAAACAATCAGTAGAGCAGGTCATTTATAATCCAGTGACAAGGTCACGCCTCAGCAAATGGCTCGCGAAGGCAGAGGTCTCAGACTATCATTTTTCAATGCTTTCATTGATATAATTCATGATTTAGAAAATTTGTACGGTTCGGGAATCCTTTAGGTTGTAAATATTAATTAAAGATAATGTGAGGAATGTTATATGGTACAAAGTAAAAGTGACATTATCATAACTTTTAATTTCTTCTAATCAGGAAATATGTATGGCATAAATAACTACGAATTTTAATATGTACAATGTTTATTATATTTGGGCGAAGTTGAAGTATTTTAAATTTGTTTTTTGAAATTTTGATATTCTAATAAAAATATTTATTGCGCAAAAACAAACAGGAGCATCTTTTCTTACACCGTAGTGTTGAAGTTTCCTGATTAATGTTTTATGGTGAACACAATCGACGGCTTTGGATAGGTCACAAAATATACCCAAAGCATCCTGTGAATTCTCCCATGCATTAAAGATATATTTAGTCAGCTCAACACCGGCATCAGTTGTCGAGCGACCCCTTGTGAAACCAAATTGATTTTTATGAAGTAAATTATTTATATTAAAGAAATGTAACATTTGATCAAGAATATTTTTTTCAAAAATCTTACTAAGTATTGGTAGTACAGAAATAGATCTAAAATTGGCGGGGTCTAATGTACTACCTGCTTATATAGCTGCAGCATGGCTCAACCACGTTATATATATATATATATATATATATATATATATATATATATATATATATATTGTAGTCTTAATCTCGTTAAACCTAAAAAAAATTACAATATCGAAAAATTTATTAATTGCTTACAGTTGTAAGAATGTCAGAATCGCGGCATTATCGCGATTTCTACATATCAAACAGAATATGAAAGGTAATGAAATATTTATTGGTTGTTTTTCAATATTAAATATTTAAATTTTAGGTAACACCCTTTCAACGTGTTCTAGTCTAAAGAGTATAGAGAGCCAGTAGTTGTGACTAGGCTTTTGTGACCTCTTCCGGGAACCGCGGGCTTTGTCTGTGTAATAGAAGATTAGGTTATTAAAACCATCAACTATCGGAGATACATCCTGAAGGATAACTCGTGCTTTTGCGGAATGCCTAGCATCTATAAAGTGAGGGTATCAGAAATTTTATCACGATGAGCATGAGTGCCTATCGTAGGAGGAATTGAACCAGTTAATGGAGAACAGCATCTTCATGATCACAATTGAATAAAAAAAAACTACAGCAGCCAGCCCGCTTGTCAAGCGTCGTAACTATGAGAAATATTACTCTTATGAGGAACCTACGGGGAGGCCTATATTCAGCAGTGAACTTTTAATAGGCTGCAATAAATAGTTGGCAATTGTGCAATAGTGGAACTTGGCACCTAGAACTAATTCAAACAACCTACTTATTATCAATTGAACAATAAACTCGTGCCACCCATTTCCTGTAAAAATAAGTGTTTAAAACGTCGTCCACATACAACTATCTGTCTAGTGGTCAACACAAATCTCATATATTTACATTAGACTAAATTGCTTAACTTCAAAGTTGAATCTGCTTGCAGTAATTGTTCTTTGACTAAGGCTCGTTATCAGCTAAACCACTGCAAACCGCATCGTCTGCCTGCTGAATCCCAAATCACATTCACTAAATAAGAGTGAGACAATTTTATACAAAATTAGTTAAAACAATAATGCGGAGATCAAAGTTTCGTTTCCTAATTACTTCTGTGCGTGACAGTTCAGTGGATAAGGAAGATATCTTCTTCCTAGACAAAAAAAGGTGTCGACTATTCAGTCCGATTAATTATCAGTAATAAGGAAAAACTCGAACATGTGTAATATTCAGCTTTGTGTTTTTTATAGTTTTTTTTTATATGACTTGGAATCAACTTCAAAAACATGGTGGCTGCAGATACACTGTTACCTCTAGAGACTAAGATTGAACGCGTCACAGTCTGTAATCATACAAGTTCTGTAGAATCTTTCCGAGCGTAACACATCAGTGCACGCATTATTGTAGGGGCAGAAATAGGTAAGATGGTTATTTACACGCTTTAAAATAGTTTATAGATTCTTTGAGTATAACATATGGTTGACGTTTTTTCAATGTCTTGATAGTAGTAAAACTTCTCAATTTCAGGCTAGTGGCAGAATCATTTTATGATGTCATAATTATTAACGGCTAAGAGGTACTCCAACTCCAAGTGTGCTCCCTAATTACGAGTAAAGTGATTGTAGCAACTTTTCTCAATTTAAGAGGCTATGCCAATTATTTCCTCAGGTGGAGAAATTCAGCATAATAATTAATGTTGCACAATATTATGAATTTCAAGAGAATAATAGATATGTTTCAAGTATAAAATAGAAGCAATTTATAAATTTTACCCTTTTGAGTGGTCAAAGATATCTTAAGTAATATTACAAACTTTATTCTCTATTTCGCCACCCGTAGAGATGGAATGTTTTGAAGTCTGCTAAATGAAATGTAACTGCAATCTTTTTTGTTTGATAAAACATGAAGAAAAATCCTTGTTTATCTTTATAATTTCCAAATATAATATAACGTAAGTATTCAAATCGATGCAAGACAGTGAAAGACGTTCTCGTAATATTCTCAAAAATCATATAAATCTGTATAGCAGAGGTTTTATTAATTCTCATTTACAATTCAGGCAACATTACTATGAAACCCTCTGTCCATTGATATAAGACAAGCACCGAATAAGCAAACGTTTTTTTAATAAATTGGTTTGGTAACATCTAAAAGGAAAGCAACATCGAAACTTTTATTATTATTATGTTTTATAGATTATCATATATGTTGTGTATGTATGTTAATATGTGTACGCGCATATGTTTTAAGTTTATTAACATATTCCGCCTTATTATAAAACGTGGCGTGTTTTATTAAGTCTTGGGTTAAATGTCTGATTGGAGAATATTCCTTGAAACCTGAAGAAGTTCCGTTTTCCACAGTTTTCCGGTTTCCACAGTTTTCCGGTTTCCACAGTTTTCAAAATTTGAAATTTTATTGTCGAATTCATTTTAGTTCGCATATTAATTTCCGCTTCTTCAGTGAAACAGACTCTAGTTTACAACTGAGACATAAACTACTTTTTTTAATACGGCCGATAATGGTTTAGTTCCATTGCATCCATTGCAGCCATAGTTGCCACGCGGCAGGCGGTTTGGCAACCGCAGTTTTTTAATTAGTATTTTTAATAGTAAGATGCTGCGGCCCATTTCAGTTTCACCCACGGAATAATATGGAGTACACTGCCTTACACGGTGAATTTTGACACTGGCATCTTTTGTTTCTTTAATTTTTCCATAGCTGATTGGTAAAGTATGCCTTAAGGCATTAACTCCACCCATTGTGACCTTTAGTTTAAGGTCTCTTATAATAAAGATTAAATAAATAAATAACACTAAAACAGAAGCAAAATGAATAAAAAGTGCATTGTCAATCGCTGAATGGAGAATGAAAATAATCCCAGTGCACTACGAACCCGATCCCGACACCCGTCACTCTCAAGATTGTGAGATTATACCAACTGAGCCGCTCCAGGGAATGTATACATTGAACGCCTCAACTCCTGCTTAAATC